CATCACCCCTTCACCTCATCTCAATCCCCTTTCCAAAGTCTCAGTCCCCGAGTTTCAGATTCTTCGATTACACTGCTCGGTTTTGGATCATGTGCTTCCTGCTACTGGGTCTTTGTCTCATGCATGTTTGAGGGCCCCTCGGGTCACATCACGTGGAATGTTCTGTGAACATTACCTTTCATTGGCTCATTTTCTTTTCTTTGTTTAGTCAGAGAGAGGCCCCATTCCAGGCGTGAGCATTTCGCCTTCTCTCCGGGATTCCCATCGGCTGAGTCTCTGAGTCCCTCGCTGGGGCTGTTGCTGTTGCAGTCTGCAGTCTCTCAGACACCACAGGGACTTACCACCAGCACCACCTGCTGCCCTGGTTCCCGGAGGCCTCGCTCCCTCTCCACCTGGCCTCCTCACTGCCCTCTAGTTGACACACGGTGGGGTTTGCACGGGGAGGGGCGGCGCTGGTGTGGGGTGAGCGGCCGGCTGTCTGGAAATAGCCCTGGGGGAGGGGCCTGGCTCCCAAGCTGGCACGGAGGTATCAGACGGTGCTTATAGTGCCTGGCGCTCCCGCCGTCAGAAAACATCTCTGCGGGAGGCATTTCTGCAGATCCCATCAGTTCTCCCTCCCCGGGGGGCCCGCTGGCGCAGGGCGTTCGCTGCTCTGGGTTGGAGACCATAGAACTAACCGCACCGAACTTTTTACTCTGGACTGGCTGGGTGTTCCCTCTGCCCGGGCTCCTGCAGAGGAGGGCCCTGGAGGTGGGCCAGCTGGCCACGCACATGTAGTAGCCTCACCACAGCTGCCACCTTATGATCCCCACTCAGGCAGACGCCTCCGAGTGATGAAATGCTGGTTATCAGGGGCAGGAGCAGTTAAGGGGAGAGGAGCGAGGCCAGGCACAGAGTGGTGCAGGGGTCAGAGGCGGAGCCAAAGAGGGACCAGGTGCAGGCTGGTTTTCTCTGAAGTCAATCTTCCTGCATGCCTGCCTGGGAGGCTCTCCCTGAGTCAGCCTTGGCGATCCCTGGTGACAGGCTTGTGGCCTCCCTGCCCAGGGCATGGCTTCCGACTGCCTGTGCTCTGCCCAGTAACCTGGCAAGGGTTCCCTTTGTTCATACGGGTCTGGCCTGTATACTGTTGTGTGTTTACAGAGCTTTATGAAGGACAATAGGTTCGTGAGAGGAAGTGTGTCCCAGGCCAATAGTAAGTCCCAGCCCAACGTCCCTGGGTGCTCGTAAGCCTCCACAGGGAGCTGCGGGCACCTTTTAGGGCTGTGTGCTGAGCTCTGCCAGCCCCAGGCCCTCACCGGCTGGGTCTGGTCCTCCAGCTTTGACGGCAGACAGCGTGGGGTGGTGAGGGTAAGAAGGCAGACACAGGTCCCCAGCTACTCTGACCTGGGTGGTAATGGGGACACGTTGCAGGTGGACCTATAGTCCACTGAGGCCAACACCTCCTCCCCTGGATTGCACCTGCCCTGTCTGCACAGGTGTTCAAAGTCCCTGCATCCTCTGACCACCGTGGGCCCATCCAAAGGCTCTAAAAAAACCTTCAGAAATGGGAGGATTCTATGCCAGCCCTGTAAGTTATCACAAAACGCAGGTTGATGTGCAATGTTTAGTAACATCGAGGCCAGTCAGGCAAACCAGGGTTTGACTCCAACTCTGCCATCTACTAGCTCGGTAACTTGATAAGTCAACTAACTCTTGGGACTAATTTATAAAATGGGCTAATAATAATATCTACCACTTCAGAGGATTGTCATGAGGATTAAACAAAATGGTTAGTACTTAACCCAGTGCTGCACATGTTACTGCTACCACAACCCTTACTTTTGGGGTGCAAAAGGCCTCGACAACCCACCACTGCCTAGGGGCAACCTGCTTTGCCCTTTTGATCCTGAAGATCTATTTATTTATTTATTAATTTATTATTTATTAAGATTTATTTATTTTTAAGAGAGACATTGATGTGATGATGTGAGAGAAATACAGATCACTGCCTCCTGTATGCACCCCAACTATTCCTGGGTATGTGCCCGGAACGGGAATCTAACCCACAATCCTGGTGTAGGGGACGACAATGCAACTGAGCCACCCAACCGGGGTGTTCTGGATACTTTCGATAACTATGTATTTACTGCTTTCCTGCAATCTTCCACCACAAGTGGAAGGCACTGGCCTTTCCAATAACCAGACCATCCAAGGACAGAATCATAGCACCTAAGCTATGGGCCCATTTTTGGCCCTGCTTAGTCTAGGCCTCAGGTTTGGTTTCCTGACTTAACTGCGCTAGACTCCAGCTGCCTGAGCAGTGACTCTGCTGGCCTGGCTCGCAGGCACTGACCCACTTGCTAGGTGAAAGCCACGGGGCGGAATCAATAGCCTGGTGGTGGGGGCGGCAGCTGCAGGCCTGCTGCCCTGACAATCCACAAGACACTCTGGTGTGGGAATGCGAAACTGGTGAAACAGCCACCTGATACAGGGAAGGGTGGGAAGGAACTGGGAGCCAGGGTGTCACATGGAGAGCACAGTAGTTATCTGTAGGCCTTTTTACCCTGGAAACAAATTTCTCAAGTGGGCTAACCCCATCCCTGTTCTCTAAAACTAGGCAGGAGAAGGAAAAAACGAGGGGACGCTATTTGCTCAGAGCTGAAGGTGCTAGAAACGGGGGGAGGACCCTGTCTGTGACGGGGCGAGAACAGGCATTCCTCCTCCCCAGTTTCCAAAGCCTTCAAAGAGACCAGTGATTGGATTTCTATCCAGTGCTTTTATTAAACATAGTCTCATCAGAAGGAGAAAGACATGTTACCCCACACCAACGGAGAGTGTACGTATGTGTGTTTATGAGAAAGAAAAGTGTGAGGTCCCTGATCTGTGCTCCGAGGGGTGGTCAGTGAGGTGGGGCCTGGGCCAACCAGTAAGGCAGATGAGGGTCTCTGTTCTGGGGGACTCACTGCTCCTGGGTGCCCCAGGAGATGTAGTCTGGCCGCGTGGCTGCGTGGTACTCATCGATGAGCTGCTGCACGATCTCCCTGGATGTGTCCAGCTCGTCGAAGTTCTCCTTGAAGATGTCCTCCTTCCGGAACTGCTCCAGGAAGGCCTCCCGCTTCCGCAGCTTGTCGTACTGGCGACAGGTCCTCTCAAAGAGCTTGAGGCGTGCAGGAGGCAGGGGTCAAAAAGAACTTAGAAAAACAACATGGTCCCAACAGACATCCCGGGAACCGGGGCTGGGCTGTCTTCCCAGTAAAAGAGCCAGAAGCAGAGCAGCAGGGATGGAGAGAGGTGAACACAACCAAGAAAATTATTATGAGGAAATAGGGGCAAGCTGGGAGCCTCACCGAGGAGATGCTGGTGTGGTTGGCCATCATGAGCCCGCTGACCCGGTGGGCAGAGGGCAGGTAGGGAGACTTCCTGGACAGGGCCACCTGGATGCTGGCTGGGCCCCAGGGGATGAAGTTGGCCAGCTTCCGCTCCCGGATCCTCTGCAGGCTCTTGTGCACCTGGGGTGGGCACAGGGGTGGTGGTGGTCGCCTCTCCTCTACCCCCGCAGGTCCCAGGGTGGAACGAAGGGGCCTCACCTACCTGAGTGGGGTCCACCTCACCCTGGATGATGTTGAGGATGGCGATGTAGCAGTGGTTGGTCTGCCGGTCCCGGCCGGTGGACACCATCACGTTCTTGGGCTGCAGCAGCCGCCTCATCACGTCCAGGACCGTGGTCTTCCTCACGCTGGCCACCTGAGGGGACAGTGGGCCACGGGGACCAGGCCAGCCCTCAGGGCACAGTCCACAGATGCACGGACAGAGAAGAGGAGGCAACACATGTCCCCCACCAGACTCGGGGCAGTGTGGCCTCGTAGGGGACTGTCTTTAGGTTCAGGCCTCTGCTGTGGGATCAGGAATCTTAGCCATCCTCAGCTCAGCAAACTCATGCCCCTGTGCAGGAGCATAAGGAGACCCCATACAGCAGGGAGCCAAAGGCTAGGGAGGGAGGAGAGCAAGTCAGCAAGGAAGTCTTCAGTCTGTGCTGGCCCCTGAGCACAGCGCCTCCTGGGCAGCAGGGAAAGAGGGAGGCTGGGTTGGCGGTTTCTGGGCCCAGGGCCAGTTGGGCCTGAGACAGTGAGGGCTGTTCTTACCGACTGGTCCGTGGTGAGGGGGGTGTAACCCGTCATGAGGAAGTGGAGCCGTGGTGTGGGAATGAGGGAGGCGATGAGGCCGATGAGGTCGTTGTTCATGTAGCCAGGGTAGCGCAGGGTGGTGGTGCTGGCTGACATGATGGTGGACACCTGGGGACAGGGATGCCAGGTCAGGCGTCTGGGCCTGGTTGGGGGGTGCTCCCTTCCCCAGACAAGGGTTCCAGGAGGAAGGGGTTCCAGTCGAAAGGAATCCAGAAGCAGCGGCTCACCAGCTGGTTGATCTGGGAGAAGGATGGGTTCTGGATGTGCAGGCGGTCTGTGGCGATCCGGTTCAGGGCGGTGTTGTCCAGCACCACCTGGGGGTGGGGAGGACGCGACAGAAGAGGGAGGCAGAATTGGGGAATTAGAAAGAGCAGCAGCTCTGCCTGAGTCTGGGCTCTGAAGGTTAATTTCTCTTGAGCTTCGAGGCCAGAAAGACTCATTGAAAAGGGACTTGCACAGGACTAGAGTCCAGGAGGCCTGAAAACGGAATTCTTATTTTATTTATTTATTTATTTGTTTGTTTATTTATTTATTTATTTTTAAATATATTTTATTGATTTTTTACAGAGAGGAAGGGAGAGAGAGATACAGAGTTAGAAACATCGATGAGAGAGAGCCATCGACCAGCTGCCTCTTGCACACCCCCCACTGGGGATGTGCCTGCAACCAAGGTACATGCCCTTGACCGGAATCGAACCCAGGACCTTTCAGTCCCCAAGCCGATGCTCTATCCATTGAGCCAAACCGGTCCCAGCTGGCGACAGGATTTCTAAAGGCATGAAAAGGATGACCCAGACAGAGGGGTTGGGAGTAGGAAAGGCAGGAGCCAGGGCTCACCACGCAGTCGGCGTTCTGGGTCAGCCTCTTGAGGGTGAGCAGCGAGTTGTAGGGCTGGACCACCACGTCGCTCATCTCGTCCTGGTTGGGAAACACGGAGTATGTCTGCACCAGCTTCTTGGGGTACCTGGTGGGGGTTGGGAGAAGAGGGTCGGGCCAACAGACTGTAGGCTGGGTCAACAAGGGACTTCCAACAACTGTCTGGAAGAAGCTAACTCTGGACGGGGAAAATAGTCGGGGCTACAGGACCAGGAGAGAAGGGAGACTTGACTTTGGAAGTCTGTAACCTTCCCATATGGCAGAGAGACACGCTAGGACCTTGGGTTCCAACGCCAACCTGTCCAAACTTCCTAAACCTTAATCCCTTCATTGATGGTCTTCATCTCTTCATTAATTCTCAGTTATTGTACCTTAGCTTTCCCCACTACAGGAGGAATTAGAAGATCCCTTTCCTGCTCCAGTGAATAGGAAGGGGTTTGTGTGTGCATGTGTGTGTGTGTATATATTTAAATATATTTTATTGATTTTTTTACAGAGAAGAAGATAAGGATAGTTCAAAACATAGATGAGAGAAAAACATCGACCAGCTGCCTCTTGCACACCGCTTACTGGGGATGTGCCCGTAACCAGGGTACATGCCCTTGACCAGAATCGAACCTGGGACCTTTCAGTCCGCAGGCCGACACTCTATCCACTGAGCCAAACCAGTTTCGGCAGGAAGGTATATTTTAAGGGTCTCCCAGTTATTTGGAAAACCAATCCTCCCAGCCCCTCAAAACACAGACGTACCTGTCATTCAGCCGTTCTAAGAGGTAGGAGCCCAGGCCAGAGCCTGTCCCCCCAGCGATGGAGTGACACAACACAAAGCCCTACACGGGAGAGGGGTGAGTCAGTGTCCAGGATTCTGGCAGAATTTCAAACTGAATCCATCCCACAATTTCCGACTCCTATTTTTCTGAGCCCTCCCCTTCCACTTCCCTCCCCCAACACATAGTGCTTAGGAGACTCTGCCTTATTTCCCAGTGCTTCTGTCCAGTAAAGGGCCTTGTACCTAGCAGGTGGCTTCTACCGGGTGTTACTAAGCTTTCTCTCTGTCACTTCCCACCAGCATTCCCAAGACACTTACCTCTAGACTGTCACTGCCATCTGCCTCCCGGTCTATGATGTCAAAAATGTCCTCATGGATTTTCTCTCCCTGTACAGACATGGGGAGGGTCAGAGTGGCAGGACCAGGAGATAAGACTCTGACATCAGAATTGCCTCCCTTCATTCCCCTTATAGCACCCAAACGTCCTGGGTTGGAGCACAGTGGCCCCACTTTTTTATTTTTATTTTTAAATATTTTTTTGTTGATTTTTCACAGAGAGGAAGAGAGAGGGATAGAGAGTTAGAAACATTGATGAGACAGAATCATTGATCAGCTGCCTCTTGCACACCCCCCACTGGTACATGCCCTTGCCCGGAATTGAACCCGGGACCTTTCAGTCCGCAGGCTGACACTCTATGCACTGAGGCAAACCGGTCCCGGCTGGTCCCCTTTTTTATTTGCATGGAGAGGTTAGGGGCAGGAACTCTATATCCAGACTACCTAGGTTCATATATTAGCTCTAGTTCTATGTAGCTGAGTGACTCTGGGAGGGTTACCTAATCTTCCTATACCTGTTTCATCTGTATAATGAAGGTAATACAGGTCCAGGCCTAGTCAGCTTGGCTCAGAGCATCAGCCTGCAGCCTGCAAACATCACTGATGTTTCTATCTCTCTCTCCTTCTCCTTTCTTCTCTGAAATCAATAAAGAAATACATTAAAAAAAATAATAATGCAGGTCCATAAAGCCTTATCTAGAATCTTGGGGGCCTATGTTTTGGGATTCAAATGCTTCAGATTCTAGCAAGGTAATATGGTACACATACTATAGGCTCAGTAAAATGCTAGTCAAATGCATGAACATTTCTGCAAAGAAAGGTCTGAGTAATGACAATAAATGGGATACTCTCCATTGAATTTTGCTGCTAAATAAATTATAAATCACCTTTTGCTTTCAGAGGTTTTTGGGATCCTGGAAAGGCAGATGAATGTCTGTGGGTTGTTGGGAGGCTTAAATACTACATGTAAAGCACTTACTATGGCCTGGAAATCAACACTAGTATACTCTGTTAATAATATTACATAGTTGAGCCGAAACCGGTTTGGCTCAGCGGTAGAGTGTCGGTCTGCGGACTGAAAGGTCCCAGGTTCGATTCAGGTCAAGGGCATGTACATTGGTTGCGGGCACATCCCCAGTAAGGGGTGTGCAGGAGGCAGCTGGTCGATGTTTCTCTCTCATCGACGTTTCTAGCTCTCTATCTCTCTCCCTTCCTCTCTGTAAGAAATCAATATAGTATTAAAAAAATAATATTACATAGTTGACTTAGAGAAAAGAATTCCCCTCAGTCATGTCTCTCCCTCTCTCCTTTTCCCACTGTCCGATTTCATTTCTCGGGGAAGTCACAGGGCCTGTCCCCACACAGGAAGGATATTTTGGGTCTTGCCAGGGACAAGTAAATGACCTGGGAGAATCCACTGGCCCAGTTGTTGCCTGCTCCTCCTCCGTGCTCTGACAGGTAGATGTTCTCTGGGTTGTAGAGCTTGGCGTAGGGGGAGTTGAGGATGGAGTGGATCACCCGGGGCTCCAGGTCCAGCAGCACAGCCCTGGGGATGTAGTGCTCATCGTCGGCCTGTCAAAGGGAGTCCAGGAGGGGGCCCACTCAGCAAAGGCCTGCGCAGTCCTCTGTCCTCCGAACTCTGACTCCAATCTGCCCTCCCTCCTCAAGCCAGCCGCCCTGGCCCCTGTGCCCAGAGGATTTCTCAGTACCAAGCCTCTGCCCTGCCCTTCAGGACCCCTGGGCAACTGCAGGCTCTGGCCAAGTAGGTAGAAGCACCTGGTAGAAAAAGACGTCCTTGCGGTCGGTGCCTTCGGTGGCAAATTCCTCCACGATGCCCTCGGGGCTGATCCCATGCTCTGCGCACAGTTGTTTCCAGAACTCAAACCCAACTGGAGGGGGAGAGTGGACGGGGGAGAAAGAGGATATCTGGGTCAGGGCAAGTTCCAGGTAGGAGCTGGGGTCCAGAAATAGGAAGTCAAACTTCAGGAGTCTCCCATGAGAAAGGAAAGGGCTGTATGCCAGAGACTTGGCAGGGGAAGGCCCCTCGGGGCTGGGTAACTGGACCCTGGGGGAGGCATGTCCGCCCTTACAATTCTGGGAAGGGCAGCTGGGAGTCTAGGATTCCACCCTGATACCCCACTTAATCTAGGGAGCCTGGCTAGTGGAGGGGCCGGAGGTCCGCTCACTCTGATTGCCGCACTGGCCCAACTGTAGGGTGATGATTTCCCGCGGCATCGCTCTCTTCCAGCACCGGCGCTGCAGCCGCTCCCGCTAGCAAAGCGGCCGCTCGCCAGCCCGCTCACTGCACGGCGCAGGCGCCAGACAACCCGCCCCGCCCACAAACTTTCTCCGCTCCAATGAGAAGTGAGAGTTCCGGCGGTGGCACTTCCTTGTTCATTCGGCTTCAGTCACGCGCGCTGCGCGTGCGCGGCTCCTGGACGGGACGCACTTTGACGCAGCGTCCTCTCCTCTGGGTGGTTGCGAGCCAGAGCCCTTGCGCAGGCGCAGTGTCAAGGGACACCACCTCCCCCCCTCCCCCCGCGCCGAATCCTGCGTCTGCGCAGTTGGTGTTATTGTGATTCTCTAGCCGCGCGGCCCCGGATGTGGTGGTGGCTGCCGGGGGCAGATGGCGGAGGCAGAAGGGGCGGCCACGGCCCCATGCTCAGCTCCGAGGCCGGCTTTCCGGAGCCACGGCGCTATGTCAGGCTCCTTGGAGAGGGACCAGCAGGTTGAGGCGGCGCAGCGGGCCCTGGTGGAGGTGCTGGGGCCTTACGAGCCGCTGCTGAGCCGGGTGCAGGCAGCCCTTGTGTGGGAGAGGCCAGCCAGGAGCGCCCTGTGGTGCCTGGGGCTGAACGCGGCGTTCTGGTGAGAAACTGGACCCTCGGAAACCCTCCGAGGCGGGAGTTGGTCAGGTTTTTCTAGGGCTCCACCTCTCGCCTCACCTGTTTTCTTCGCTGCATTGGCCCCTTCCTGATCTTCCTTCACTTCCTCCCACTCACTCCATCCCGCCCGCGACCTTTGGCTCCGCCGTTCTCCGCGGGGCCTCCCGGTTGTCTGTCCGGCTTTGTCCACTCCCGCACCCTCGCCCCGCACCTCGGGCCGGGTCTCTGGCAAGGCCGGGAGCCTCCCGCTGTGAGCGAGGCCGCCTCCTGTGAGGCAGGGAGAGCTGGGTCCCGGTGAAGGCCGCCACCTCCTTTCTCTGGCTGCTCAGATGCGGTTCGAAGACTTGTCTCCAGGGATGTTAGCAGTCATCCTCGGGGTAGGTGCGGGGGGCGTGCGGTCTTGGAAAGGTACCCAGAGGTGTGCTGAGAAAGCAAGCCGGAGCGCGGTGCGTTAGCTTGGGCGTGTTTGGACAGACTTTCGCCCACTCAGGGAGGTTTGTGAGAGTCTCCAAAAACGGCAACTTTTAAAGAACTTGTATGAAAGAGTGATGGTGAGATCCCACCCTTTGGGGAAGCCACTTAGGATCGCAACGCCTGCCGTTCCCAGGATGAGAGAGGCATCATGGTGCAGAGGCAAGGAAACGGAGGCTGTCTCAGAGCGGGTGCGTTTTCCGGAGCGGGAAAAGCAGGACTGTACATATCCTGTAAGAATCTGCCCCGTGAAAATGGGGGAACTGCTGCTGCTCTCAGTTGTTGTCACCTAAAGTGGTCTTAGGTTTTCACGGGATCTGCCAAGGATCTAGGGAAGTATTATTGATCAAGTTCTCGGGGAACTGAGGTGTGTGTGTGTGTGTGTGTGTAAGGAGGGTCCTACAGTTGAATGAAATAAGACTTCTGGATAAGTCTAAAACCAAACAAGGATTGTGTTTCCAATTTTTTTTTTTTTTTTTGCTCAAAATAGCTAAAATAGTTTTTCTCTTAAAATTCTTGGTTTTAAAACCAAAACATTTATGTATTTATTTATTTTAAAAATATATTTTATTGATTTTGTACAGAGAGGAAGGGAGAGAGATGGAGAGTTAGAAACATCGATGAGAGAGAGTCATCGATCAGCTGCCTCTTGCACACCCCCTACTGGGGATGTGCCCGCAACCAAGGTACATGCCCTTGACCGGAATCAAACCAGGGACCCTTCAGTCCCCAAGCTGATGCTCTATCCATTGAGCCAAACCGGTCTCGGCCCCAAACATTTATTATCCTTTTTCTGGAAGAAGTTTTTCAGTCAGCTGTCGCAAAACATTTCCCAGTTCTTGGGCAGGAAGACACATGTTTAGCTATTAGATCAGTCCTCTCTCAGTGTTAAAGTTGTCACAGTAGCCTCTGCCATTTGTTGCTTCCAGAGTCTAGCAAACTTGATGTTAAACTTTTTTATTTTTTAAACAGCAGCCTTCGTTATTGGGGTGGGGTGGGGTGGGGTGGGAGATAGTGCTTCTTCCTTGATCCCCAGGTACCTGCTTCTCTCCTGCTGTTCTCTGCCAGAAACCCATAACCTCGTTCAGAAGCATTTACCAAAACGACCTTTTCTTTCTTTCTGTACCCGCATCCCAATCCCAAACCCCAGACTATCCAGTCAAAACTTCATTTCCTACATTGGGATTATACACATAGAAAAAAAAAAATAGTCCTCAATAAACCAGCTTTGTATCAAAGTATGACTGGCTGGTAGATAAAAGAATCCTGATAAACCAAGGATTTATTAATGCACATGGGTCGGTAGCATGGAAGTTATTTTTGGAGGGACTTTGTACATGTCCCTTGCCTGAGAGATTTTGAAGTAGCATGCAGGTAGAGGTCTGCATATAAAGAGTTGCTCTGAGCCGAAACCGGTTTGGCTCAGCGGTAGAGTGTTGGTCTGCGGACTGAAAGGTCCCAGGTTTGATTCCGGTCAGGGGCATGTACCTTGGTTGTGGGCACATCTCCATTGGGGGGTGTACAGGGGACGGCTGGTCGATGTTTCTCTCTCATTGATGTTTCTGGCTCTCTATCTCTCTCCCTTCCTCTCTGTAAAAAATCAATAAAATATATTTTTTAAAAAAAAGTTGCTCTGAGACACATCTTTCAATGTTAACAGTGTTAGCCTTAATTTGTTCACCCCAACCTTGTTACTTAATTTTATTATTATGCTATCTTTAGAATTTCACTCAGATCCTCCCCTTTTCTTACTCCTAGTCTCTCTTTTTTAAAAGAAAAAAAAAAATATATATATACTTTTATTGATTTCAGAAAGAAAGGGAGAGGGAGAGAAACATCAATGATGAGAGAATCATCAATTGGCTGTCTCCTGCACGCCTCGAATCGGGGATCAAGCCCGCAAACCTTGATCAGAATCGAACTTGAGACCCTTCAGTCCACAGGTGGTCGCTCTCTTCACTGAGCCAAACCCATTAGGGCCCTACTAGTCTCTTAAAGCATTGCTGTGATTGGTCTTTGTCCTCTGGTAGCTTGCCTGCTGTGTATCCAGAACAGTTCCTCTTGTTACAGTCCCATCACACTCTGCCTAGGTGGGAGAGAGAGCGAGCAAAATGAGGGTATGACTCTTGATGCTGAAAACAAATGGGTATGCCATTTATGGAGAGTACAGAATGGCTGGTAAGAGTTAAGGGTACAGAATGGTTGGTAGTATTAAGGCCCCAGAAGCTAAGGTAGATTGGCATTGGAGTTCTTAGGAGTCTTTGTTTTTAGTAAATGTGCTTCATGGAAGGTAGTTTGAGGTTTAAAATGGAAGTTAGACTTCACATTCCAGTAGCGTCATCTTGAATGTGGATGCAGACATTTCACTTTAGAATGTTGAAGAGTGGCTGTTTAATTTTGGACATTTTATTTAATTTAAACATTTAAAAAAATTGATTTCAGAGAGAGGAAGGGAGAGGGACAGTGGGATAGAAACATCAGCAAGGAGAGAATCTTAGACTGGCTGCCTTTTGCTTGTCCCCTCCTGGCAATTAAGCCTGTAACCTGGGCACACAACCTGACTGGGAATTGAATCATAGGTCAATGCTCAATCACTGAACCATGCCAGCCGGGCATTAGACATTTAAAATGTTTAGGAACCACGAGGATCATTGGCTCAGGATAGAGAAAAATCAAATCTGAAATATTTTTCATTATTTGTATTTTTCTTTATTCTTGCCTGAGGATTTCTTCTTTTTCTCCACTGATTTCTAGAGAGAGTGGTAGGGAGGGAGCAGGAGTGAGAGAAAGAGGGAGAGAGACAAGCATGGATGTGAGTGAGACACATCGCTTGGTTGTCTCCTGGCATGTCCCTGCTGGGGCTGGAAAATTCGCAACCAAGCTATGCGACCTTGACTGGGAACTGAACCCTCAACCCTTTGGTTCAAGGGCTGGCACTCTAACCACTGAGCGACTAGTCTGAGTGATTGCTTTGAACAATGATATATCACTAACAAGTGTGTTGTTTTTAAAATACATTTTGAGGCATTAAGATTGGGTAGGAGTACAAAAAATCAATTCAGGCGCCGAGACTGGTTTGGCTCAATGGATAGAGCTTGGCTTGGGGACTGAAGGGTCCCGGGTTCGATTCCGGTCAAGGGCATGTACCTTGGTTGCGGGCATATTCCCAGTAGGGGGTGTGCAAGAGGCAGCTGATCGATGACTCTCCCTCATCGATGTTTCTAACTCTCTATCGCTCTCCCTTCCTCTCTGTACAAAATCAATAAAATATATATTTTTAAAAAAATCCTTTCAGGAAAGTGTTTTAGCTTTTAAAGTTCTCTATGCTCAATGAAGGTTTTTCCTGTACCTGTGAGTGTGTCCTCTTATATCTTAATAAAGGAAAAAACAACATTAAAGGTAGAGGTGTAGATGGCTTGCCACTACAATATTCCAAGGCTTTTACTCTTTTTTTTTTTTTTAATATATTTTATTGATTTTATATAGAGAGGAAGGGAGAGAGATAGAGAGTTAGAAACATCGGTGAGATGAGAGAGAGTCATCGATCAGCTGCCTCTTGCACACCCCCCACTGGGGATATGCCCGCAACCAGGGCACATGCCCCGGACCGGGATCGAACCCGGGACCTTTCAGTCCCCAAGCCGACGCTCTATCCATTGAGCCAAACCGGTCCCGGCCAAGGCTTTTACTCTTAAAAAATTTTTTTTCCCCCTCAGGTTTCAGGGAAATTATGGTGATCACATCAGATCTTCCAGCCCGTTTTCCTTCTGGTCACTGATACATTATTATCACTAGGATAATAACAGTCACGTCAGGCCTTCTTTCCAATTGCTAATCTTTTTTTTTTTTCCTTTCTTTCTTCCCCAATTGCGTGTATTTTCATTATCCTCAACATCACCCATAAATTAAATGAGTGATTGGGAGAAGAATGTGAGTCAGCAAGAGTGTATCCTAAAAAAAAAAAAAAAAAAAAGTGTGTCATGACAGAATCAGAACAGAACATGTTTGAGTAACTTTTTAGTTTGATTCAAACCTAGTAGATAGGGGGAGGACAAAGGAGCCCTGGAAACGTGTGAACACGTGGTGCAGGAGGACTAGATGACTCTGAACTCCTTTCCGGCTTTCAGCATTCTGTGATTCTAGGTGATCTTTATTATGTTTAAAAAATATATTTTTTTTATTGATTTTTTCAGAGAGAGAGAAAAACATCAACGATGAGAATCATCAATCGACTGCCTCTTCTAGGCCCCTTACCTGGGATCGAGCCCACAACCCAGGCATGTGCCCTGACTGGGAATTGAACTGTGACCTCCTGGTTCATGAGTCAGTGCTCAACTCCTGGGCCACACAGGCCAGGTTCTAGGTCAAGCATGTCCAAGTCAAAGGCTAACACTGGCCAAATAAGGCATGCGGCCCACAGCCCTCAAGTTTGACATGCTTGCTCTAGGTGGTCTTTAAATTGCAGCTACTGATTTAGAGCAATCCACAAGCTGATTCCCTGTTGGGATCTGT